TTCATAGCTGCTTCATGGGCAAAACAACAAGATAACCCGTCGACACCACCAGACACTGACTCAGATGCCGCAACTTCAACAGAGGCTGACTTGAATGGGCCTCGCGATCCAGGGGTATCTAACGAGGTTTGGGACCAACTGCAAGCTGATCGAAAACAACACGACGCGCAAATCATGCATGATGCGGAGATCATTAATGAGGAAAAGGTTTTGCGAAAGAAACTGGACAACAACTCAGAGATGCCAGACGATGACGAGCGACGTCAATATGAAGAACTTATTAGGAGTCTTGTTCGGCAAATGTTTGAGATCGAGGAGCGAAAGAAGAAGGAGGAAGAAGCACAGAGGAAACTGCGGGAAATGGGTGTCTGTCCTATGGGATATCGTTGGATTCCACAGGCCACAGGCTACCGGTGTGCAGGTGGGAGTCATTTTGTCTCTTCGGCACAGCTGGGCTTGTAATTCCATACGGGTCGCCAGAATATCTGTCTCCTAGTATATGCGCAATGCGAATGTCATTCCCTGATTCCCTGATGAGGCGGGGCTTAGACAAGATGAGTTTCTAGTTGTTCGCGACCGAAAAAAGCATACACACCAAATGATACTGCTACGGTCTCGGCGTACGCAAATATTCCAATATCAACGAAGATGTAGGACATTCTTTGATTGCGTTGGCGATAAATTATATTTTCCGCGCATCTTCCCATTGGAATGCTTACCAGCTGGCACGTAACCATAATTATGGCCGCTTGACGATATCGGCTAGTTACTCCTGATCAACAAAGGAACCTAAATAAGAATATTCCTGTTTAATCCTGGGTACTTTTACGGTGGCCTGTCCATCTTAGAGGTCCAAATATGAATTAACTGCGCTCATACAGTCCCGATTCGGTCTCCTCAGCGTGTCTCCCGCGTCCTCATCATGGTACTCTTTACCAAAGACTTACTCCACTACACTATCTCCGTTAATGGCATCTCCCAAGACGATTTCAACGTCCTCATTTAGGAATGGAACATTACCGCAAACCCCAACAATCACGGTGAGCCGTACTCCAGGATTGCTGATCCCAAGTCCAGACACAACGCTATAGCTCTTCCTTAGCCCATTTATGGTTTCCATGCTGGCCAATTCGACTTTGACCGCGTCAGACTGGCTGGGGAATACGCAAATAGCATTCATTACTTGAAGCTTTCTTGGCGTGTGTGGGCGCATATTGCTATTAACCAAACCGTGATGAGTAGAGAACTTAGAGCCTCCTGCAATAACATACATTGCCAATATGAGACTCTTCTGAGGTGAAGGTTCCAAATTAGGGCTACTAGTTAACAAAATCCTGTAGCAATGGATAAGAAGAAAGCCAATGCCAAATCATTTTATTCCCTACTTACTATCCCCATGGAGATGCATGCTGCATCAAGTTGAACATAGATATATCCTCGATAACAAGAGCAGCTTTCTACTGACGTGAAACTACTTGGTAACTTTTCTGTTGCCGAGCGTGTACTCCGTAGAAGTGGTAGTAAGGTAAGTCGCTACTTGTATTAGTAGTCTTGAGTTTTTAGAAATGTATCATTATTGTGAGCATATAGCTGCTGGCCGGAGGTTTGCTGAGCATCAAGTTAGAGCCCATATTGAATTGTCGATGCTAAAGTGCCTGTTGTAGTGGTCGGACATGTTACGTGGGGCGGGGTGTCAGGATTACTAAGATAGACAAATAACGTAACTCCCGGCCGCGCCGGCCACCCACCTACTACACACCCAACGCAAGCAAGAATAAAGCTATTCAAACAACATTATTACTACACACCCAACGCAAGTAAGAATGAAGCTATTCAAACAACATTATTATTAGCAAAGCCTGTGACGGCGAGTGACATCTCAGGGTCACATGACTTCTGTTTTATTTGCTTTATTTGCCTGTCTTATATAACTTACTTATCTTTATATAATTATATATTCTTCCTGAGCTTCTTCTTTTCTTTTTTTATACTAGAAATTCTTATTAAATAATATTAAATTTAATTATTTAATCAGCTTCTATATAATTTCTAATTGTGGAAGCTGATTAAATAGTTAAATTTAGTATTATTTAACAAGAATTTCTAGTATGAGGAAAGAAAGGAAGAAGCTTAAAAAAATATATAATTATATAAAAATAAGTAAGCTATACAAGGCAGATAAATAAAATAAATAAAACAGAAATTATATAATTCTAAGATATTATTTATTATTATATTATTTTTTTATTTAAGTCTGGCTGCTTTCAGCTAGAGATAAATTATTTTTTTTATAATTTAGTATAAATTTATCAGTCTTTACAGTTACTAATTATTATAAAAGACACTTGGAGGATCCAGAATAAATAAAATATTTTATATAATAATTTTAAAAATAAAAAAAAATATTTTTAAAATTTCTTACTAGATACCAGGTATGGTTAGTTATATTAAATATTAATTATTTAATTTTATATTAAAGATAATTATATTACAGATAATTAACTAGAATATTCTTAATCTTTTATTTTATTTAATTATTAACTTTGATAGATACAGTAATATTTTAAATTTATTTTAATAATAAATTAAATATATTATACAAGCAGAGCTTCTCAGGGTGGAAAATAAAATATATATATATATTTTTAAAAAGATAAATCTTATAGATATTACTAATTTTATTAATAATAAATATAAAATTATATTAATTTTTTAATAATTTTTATAAGGACTGGTCTTATCTTTATTTATAAATATTAATAAAAATTTTATTACTAATATTAAAATTAACAAAATAATAAAATTAGTTAATTTATTATATTTATTAGCTCTATATTTTCCAGATTCTATTTTATATAAAAATCTAGATTTATTTTATATAGCAAGTAAACTCACAGACTTAATTTTAAATAATAATATAAAATAATAAGCCTGCTAGAGAAATCTAATTAAATAATATTTAAAATTTATATTTTTTTTTAATTATAAATAAAAATAATTTAATAAATTTATAAAGCAGAGCTGCAGTAGTAAAATTAATAAATAATAATAATTTTAACTAGTTATTCTAGAAATAATTAATAAATAAAATAAGTTACTAGGTTGTATATTAATTAATAATTTTTATTTATTTATTAATCTATAAATAATATATTATTAAAAACTTTAATTTAATTTATAGAATTTAATATAATTTATTTTAAAAATTAGTTATAAATTGACTTTCTTAATTAGAGATAATAATATTAAAAGATTCTATCTAGATATAAACTTGGTTAATAAATAAATAGATTATATTTTATATAAAAATTTATTTTATATAAAAAATAAATACTGTATACTTGCTAAAGCAGTTTATTATTATAAAAATAATATTAAATTTATAATAATTCTTCAGGAAGAAGTAGAAATCTATAAATATATATTATTATAATTAATCAGAAATTAGAAGAGGTTGGAGTAGTCTAGATAATAAATCTTAATATATATTTTTTTTTTATAAATTAAGTAATTATTTATATAATATCAGATATCTCTGTTCTAAGTACTTTAGAAATATTATTATTTAATTAATATTATTATTTTTATTTATCCAGGATAAGCTAGTAATAGCTATTAATAAATTTTATTTAATAATTAAATCTGTAGATTATTTTTATCAGAAATTACTAATTTATTTTAATATAAAAGTAATTTATTTTATAGAAAATAATTAGTTTTTTACTAGTAGACTTACTTCTAAAAATCTTTTAAGAAGAAATGGATATGGTTTATTTCTAGAATATAATTTATAATATAAAGATTTTATTTTATAAAAATTATTAGTACTAGATTAAGAATTATATTAAGTTTTAGAAACTTAGACTTTAATAATATTTAATAATAATAATTATTAATTATCTTTAAGTTAGTTTTCTTCTGTATAAGATAATTAATTAATATATTATTTTTTTTAATTAATATTTAATAATAAAATAATATTAGAATAATATCTTTATCTAATAAATTTACTAGATATTAAATTTTTTAATAGTTATAAAGTATTCCAAGGCTCGGTAATCTATAAGAATTATAAATTTTTTTAATTATTATAAATTCTTTAATTCTATTTTTTATTTTGTAAGAATACATATAATAATCAGTATTTTTTTATTATAAATATTATAATTATACTTAAATAAAAATATAATTTTTAAATAATAAGCTATAAGATATTATATATTCTTAATCTATTAATAAAGAATTTCTATAATTATTTTATTAATTATATTAATTTTAATATATATAAATCTAGATAAATTATAATAGACTAGTACAGGAGTTAATATTAGAATTTATTTTAAAATTTAAAAAATTATTTTATAAAACTGGTTCCAGGTAAATAAAGTATTTTTCTAGATAAATTAATTTATAAATTTAATAATCTAGCTATAATTTCTTATAAAATACTAATAGAAATTATAGAATCTAAAAAATAATTAGATTTCTTTAATAGTAGTTAAATATTATTATTCTATAATTATAGTAGTTTTTACAGAATTAATCTGAATACTAATAATAATAATAATAAATTCTAGAAATCTAGTTTTTATTATATAGAATTTATATTTATAGATTACTATTTAAAATCTGGCTATCTAAAGATACTTAAAAATCTAATAAATATAAAATTTATATTCTATCTTATTTTTATTAAAAATTAATATATTATTTATATATATTATAATAAACTTATCCAGAAAATTTATAAGAATTTTATTAATAAAATACTGGAAGGCTACTAGTTTATTTATAAATTTAAATAATAATATTTAATATTTAAAGATTTTATAATAAGTTTAAAAAATAGTTAAGTCTTCAGATTCAGGATTTATATAAATATAGTAAAAGTCTTAGTAGATATTAAGTTTTATAAATATTTTTATATTTTGGAAACAGTCTATTATCTTATTAATTAAAGAAATAAGATAGAAATTCTTATAAATTAAGATATTAAATTTTTAATAATTAATATATAGGTATAGTTCTTCTCTAGATTTCTTTATTATTAAAATAGAAAAGATAAATAAGACTATATTAAATATAATAAATTTTTTTTTTAGATTTTTAATAATATAATTACGGGCAGTTTTAAGTTCTTTTAAAATTATTTTATAAAGAAAAACTGTTTTTAACAAATTATTTTTTTTTAATTAAATATAATAGTTATAGGATCAGAAGATAAGCAAAATATTTAATTTTTTTTTAAAAAAAATATTTATTAAATTATAATAATATTTAAAAAGAGTCTATTTTATCTTTTTTTTTTAATTAATTTAGATATTTTATTATCAGAATCTATTTTTTTTATAATAATCTTTTTAATTATACTCAAGAATATAATAAATATTTCTAATTTAAGATTCTGAAAGTATTTATAGAAAACAGTAATTCTAATAAAAGTTATTTTAATTTTTTTAAAAATATTTCTTTCCTGGGGGCTCCGGGGGGCTCTAAAAATTTAATATTAAAAATTTTAATTTATTAAATTTTAGTATATTTTAGTTAAGGCCTCCTGTAGAATGTTTTAATAGATATAAGATATTTTAAATTTTATTTTAAAAAAAGATATCTATAGTAAGATATTAATTATTTTCTAGAAATTATAGTCTTATTAAATAGTATTTTACTAGTAATTCTGATTAATTAGATATTATAATAAAATATTTTAAAAAATTTATTATAATAGTCTAATTTTAATTTTATCTTATAAGAAAAGATAATTAGATTATATTAGTTTATTTTACTAGTAATTTAATAAGATTTCTTATTTTATAAATTATATTTATTTTAGAATAATATCATGATAGCTTAATTTAAATATTAAAAATAGTATATTATAGAACTAGTATCTATTAATTATAAGTATAAGTTAGATAATATAGATTAGAAATATTATAGTCTTATTATTAAAGTTTATAATAATATAATTAATTTTAAGAGAGATAGTATTAATTCAGAATTAATAAATTATTTAAATAATAAAGATAATATTTATATAAGTATAAATATTAGTTCTGGTATTAGTAAAGATATATATAAATATTATTAATTTATTATTTAATATTAAAGTTTTAATAGTAAAACTTTTATTCTCTTAGCCTAACAGATCTTGTAAATCTAATAAATTAATATTAATATTTATTTTATTTAAGAAGAAGACTTCTTTTAGATATTATTTTTTATTAAATTATTATTTTCTACTATTTCTAATAGCTTAATTTAATCTGTTTTTTTTTAGATAATCCCGGATTAAATATTCCTGTTTCTAGTAGATAAAGCAGTATTTTTTAATTATTATATAAATATATTTTTCTGATTCTATACTGGTAGCGCAGCTGGTATTATAAAAGATTTTAACTAGAATAAAAAAAATTATAATTATAATAATAATAATAATTAATATAGACAGCTAATAACTTAAAGTACTTATTTTATTATAATATTTTATTATATTATTAATTAAGTTTAATGATCAGGCATATTTTTTGATATATTATTTAAATATTATATTATTATTATTAAAATGAAATATTATTAGCTCCTATAATTTAGATAAAAGATATTAATAAAAATCTTTTTTTTAATAGATTTTAGTAATATCTGTTTTTATAATAAGATAGTAAAATATAAATATAAAATTATAAAATTTATTATTAACTGTTATTTTAAGCTTCTGATACTGTTAGTATATATTATAAGATTTATTTAAATTAATATAAATAATTTTTAAATATTTAAGTATATTAGTCATGTCTGTATAAAGATTTAAAATATTAGAATAAAATTAAAGAATTAAATATTTTCTAGTATTACTTTTATAATAACTAATCATGTAAATTTATTAGACAATAATTATATTTAAATAATTTATATTAATTTCTAACTTTTATTATATTATAAGAAGCTAGTCTTTAAAACTAATAATCTTATTATTACTAAATAAAAATAAGTCAGAAATCTTTATTAATTTTTTAAATTTAAAAATCTTAGCTACTCAGCTACTCTGATTATTAAACTAGAAAAGCTAGATAATATATAAATTATATTTATATATTATTTTATTATAATTATTATTAAGCTTATTCTGCTAGCAGATAATTTTATATATTTTTATTTTTATTTTTTCTATAATACAGAGAATTATATTAAAGATTTTATCAGAATTTTTTGTATATAATTTATGAAATTAATTATAAATAATATTTTTTTTATTATCAGGCTCTTCTTCCAGCAGGATTATTAGATATTATTAAAGATTTATAATATTTAATATTAATTTAATATGGCTTTTTCTGATTATTATAAGTATTTTTACTGATTATTTTAGTTTAGATTTTAATTAGGTTGTTCTGTTTTAACCATGTTTAATATTATTAAATATATATAAGAGATAATACTGGTTACTGAACTAGATAGCTGGTAGTATATAATATTAATTTAAAAAATAAAAGATAGAGTAATATTAGAAATTATATAAAAGCTGATTAAATAATTAAATTTAGTATTATTTAATAAGAATTTCTAGTATAAGAAAAGAAAGGAAGAAGCTCAGAAAGAATATATAATTATATAAAGATAAGTAAATTATATAAGACAGGTAAACAAAACAAACAAAACAGAAATCATGTGACCCTGAGACATCACTTGCCGTCACACTAATATTACTTTATCTTTTATTTCTTAAATTAATATTATATATTACTAGTTATCTAGTTTAACAGCTGATATTATTTTTTATATATACTTAATAATATTAAACACAGCTAAGATAGAATAATCTGATTAAGACCTGAACTAGAATAATTAATAAAAATATTTATAATAATTAGAAAAAATTATATTAAATCAGTACTAAGTACTGCAAACTCTTAATAATATTTAATAATTCTACTAGAAGGAAAATCTAATAATAAAAAAAATATTATTTATAATTAATTCCATAAATTATATATAAAAAATCTTAATAAAATCTTTAATATAATTCTTTATATTATAAAAAAAATAAAAATAGAAATATATAAAACTATCTACCAGTAAAATAAGCTTAATAATAATTATAATAAAATAATATATAAATATAATCTATATATTATCCAGCTTCTCTAGCTTAATAACTAAAATAGCTAAGTAATTAAGATTTTTAAATTTAAGAAATTAATAAAGATCCCTAATCTATCTTTATTTAATAATAATAAAATTATTAATTTTAAAAACTAGCTTCTTATAATACAGCAGAAACTAAAAACTAATATAGATTATTTAAATATAACTGTTATTTAATAAACTTATATAACTAGTTATTATAAAAATAATACTAAAAAATATCTAGTCTTCTGACTTTATTCTAATATTTTAAATTTTTATATAAATATAATTAATATATTTAAATATCTAAAAATTATTTATATTAATTTAAATAAATCTTATAATACATACTAATAATATCAGAAGCTTAAAATAATAATTAATAATAAATTTTATAATTTTATATTTATATTCTACTATCTTATTATAAAGATAAATATTATTAAAATTTATTAGAAAAAAGACTTTTATTAATATTTTTTATTTAAATTATAAGAGTTAATAATATCCTGCTTTAATAATAATAATATAATATTTAAGTAATATATTAAAAAGTGTATCTAATTATTAGATTTAATTAATAATATAATAAAATATTATAATAAAATAAATATTCTGAGTTATTAATTATTTATATTAATTATTATTATTATTATAATTATAATCTTCTTTATTTTAATTAAAATTTTTTATAATACTAGCTACATTACTAGTATAGAGCCAGAGAAATATATTTATATAATAATTAAAAAATACTGCTTTATTTATCAGGAATAGAAATATTTAATTTAAAATTATTTAAAAAAAAAACAGATTAAGTCAAGCTATTAAAAATAATAAAAAATAATAATTTAATAAAAAATAATATCTAGAAGAAGTCTTTTTTTTAAATAAAATAAATATTAATATTAGTTTATTAAATTTACAAGATCTGCTAGGCTAAGAGAATAAAAACTTTATTATTAAAATTTTAATATTAAATAATAGATTAGTAATATCTATATATATTTTTATTAATACTAGAATTAATATCTATACTTATATAAATATTATTTTTACTATTTAAATAACTTATTAATTTTAAATTAATACTGTTTTTTTTAAGATTAATTATATTATTATAAATTTTAATAATAAGATTACAGTACTTTTAACTTATATTATTTAATTTATACTTATAATTAATAGACACCAGTTCTATAATATATTATTTTTAATATTTAAATTAGATTACTATAATATTATTCTAGAATAAATATAGTTTATAAAATAAAGAATTTTATTAAATTATTAATAAAGTAAATTAATATAGTCTGATTATCTTTTCTTATAAGATAAAATTAAGATTAAATTATTATAATAAATCTTCTGGAACATTCTATTACAGTATTTAATTAATTAAAATTATTAATAAGATATTATCTGATAAGACTATAACTTCTAGAAAATAATTAATATTTTATTATAAATATTTTTTCTTAAAATAAAATCTGAAATATCCTGTATTTACTAGAATACTTTATAAAAAATTTTAGTTAAGATATATCAGAATCTAGTAAACTAAAATTTTTAATATTAAATTTCTAAGGCTTCCTGGAGTTTTTAGAAAAAAAATATTTTTAAAAAAATTAAGATAATTTTTATTAAAATTATTATTTTTTATAAATATCTTCAGAATCTTAAATTAAAAATATTTATTATATTTTTAAATATAATTAAAAAGATTATTACAGAGAAGACAGATCCTGATAATAAAATATTTAAATTAATTAAAAAAAAAAAAATAAAGTAGACTTTTCTTAAATATTATTATAATTTAATAAATATTTTTTTTAAAAAAAAATTAAATATTTTATCTGTCTCCTGACCCCATAATTATTATATTTAATTAAAAAAAAATAATTTATTAAAAATAGTCTCTTTTTATAAAATAACTTTAAAAAAACTTAAAACTACCTGTAATTATATTATTAAAAATTTAAAAAAAAAATTTATTATATTTAATATAGTCCTATTTGTCTTTTTTATTCTA